TACGTACCATGAGTAGTATTCAAATTATAAACATATGAAGCATAGTATCAAACATGTTATTACTATCGATGCTACTAGTACTGCTAATAATCGTAATAACGACACTACTATGAATACTACGAATAATTTTTGTACTAAGAATAATGCTACGAAGACGCAGCAGCATATCAGCATACAAATCAGAACCATATGACGAAGACCAATACTACTATTAAGGCGAATCGTAAAACTACTCAGAATAAGAATAATAGAACAAGAGTAATCGTAATAAGACGACACCTTTACATACGAGGAGGAGGATGAGGGGGAGGAGGGGGAGGAGGAAGGCGAGGTCGAGGCCCCTCAGCAAGCAGGCCGCGGAAAACGTACCCACGGCCCGAAAGACCGTCGGACCCCCTAGCGCCTCCAACGCCCGAGGGGGGACATATGCTGGCAGAGAACCCGCACCCCCAACCCCTGTGACTTGCCCGGCCCTCCCTCGCTACCCTCGCCCCTGGAGCACGGGCCAGATGATGATGATGATGATGATGATGATGATGATGATGATGGTGGTGGTGGTGGTGATGATGATAATGTCGATGATGCTGATGATGACGATGACGATGATGATGCTGATGATGACGAGGATGATGCTGATGATGACGATGATGATCATGGTGATGATGATGACGATTATGATGATGATGCTGATGATGATACTATGATGATGCTGATGACGACGATGATGACGATGATGCTGTTGATGCTGATGATGATGACGAGGATGATGATGCTGCTGCTGATGCTGATGATGACGATGAGGATGATGATGCTGAACATGATGATGACGAGGATGATGACAATGCTGCTGCTGATGATGATGACGATGATGACGATGGTGATGACGATACTGCTGATGATGATGATGATGATGAGGAGGAGGAGGAGGATGAGGATGATGATCACGATGATGCCGCTGATGATGACGATGGTGATGATGATGATGTTCATGTTGATGTTGATTGTTATTATTCTGATGATGATGATGATGATGATGATGATGACGGGGAGGAGGAGGCGGAGGAGTAGGCATGAGAAGACGAAACACAATCAGGAGAGGACGAACATGAATACTACTGATACGGGTAATCAGAAGAAACATTATCCAAAACGAAGAAGCGTAATAAAGAGACCAATGCGAAGAAGACGACGAATACGAATACTACTTTGAAGAAGCATACGGCTAACACTACTACACATGATAATACGAATGGCAACCATAAACATAACAACGATACCACGAATAAGATGAATCTTAGCACTAATAACAGTATCAACAAACATATTAATAACAAGACCAGTAAGACGCATACCACGTTGAACAAACCGAAGACGAATACGAACCATCATATTTCTAATGCTAAGAATGTAGATAACAGTAACAGTAAGAATAACTGTATGACTCCTGAGAAGTATACTAGTACTGCTACTGCTACGAGTACTCACATTCGTGCTACGAATCATGCTAGCAAGAATACGGTTACCACTACGAATTCTACGGCGATTAATCCACATGGCACTAAGACTAATTTTAGCAATTCTGAGAAGAATACGAACCATAATATTATCGGTATCATTGACACTAGCTGGTAACACTCGTAATCCAAAGACACGTGGTTTTATTGGCATTACTGACACTAGCAGCAGCATCACCAACTACTACTATTGATACTCCCGACACTTCTAATGCTTTTATTATGATTCGGAGTAATACGGCTAGCAATAACTTAAGCATACGACTAATACGACCACTTAACATACCACACGGACTACGGCTGGCCATGTTATTACCAGTAAGAAATACTGCGACACATATAAGAATGCTTCCACAGATGCTGGAACAAAAAGTAATGCGACACATACTACTAATGCTGCTACGCATGCAACTGTGAGCACTACTACGACGAGGCGGGAGGAGGAGGAGGAGGAGGATTATGAGCAAGAGGAGGCGGAGGAGGAGGAGGAACAATAGGACGAGTATGAAGATGATGAGGAATATGAGTCGGAGGAGGAGGAGGAGGAACAGGAGGAGGAGGTGGAGGAGCAACAAGGAGGAGTAGGAGGAGGAGGATGAGGGGGAGGAAGGGGAGGATGAGGAGGACGAGGAGGAGGATGGCGGATGCGAGGGAGGAGGAGAGAGAGGATGCGAGGGAGGACGAGAATGAGGATGAGGAAGAGGAGGAGGCGGAGGTGGAGGAGGAGGAGGATGAGAGGTTGAGCAGGATCAGGCAGAGGAGGAGGAGGAGGGGAGGAGGAGGAGGAGGAGGAGGAGGAGGAGGACGAGCAGGACGAGGAGGAGGAGGATGAGGCGGAGGACGACACGGATGAGGAGGAAGAGGAGGAGGAGGAAACAGAGGAGGAGGCTGAGGAGGAGGAATAGGAGGAGGAGTAGGATGAGGACGACGAGGTGTAATCGGCGCAGGGTGAGGAGGAGGAGGAGGAGGAGGAGGCGGCGGAGGAGGAGGAGGAGGGGGGGGGGGAGGAGGGAGGAGGAGGAGGAGGAGGAGGCGGAGAGGAGGAGGAGGCGGAGGGGAAGAGAAGGAGGGGAGGAGGAGGCGGAAGAACATGATGCGGGGCAGGAGCACGAGGAGGATGAGGAGGAGGCGGAGGAGGAACACGCGGAGGAGGAGGAGGCGGCGGAGGAGGTGGATGAGGAGGAGGAGGAGAGGAGGAGGTGGAGGAGGAGGAGGCGGAGGAGGCGGAGGAGGGGGGGGGGGGAGGAAAACAAGGAGGAGGAGGAACACTATTGATGCTGCTACGCATAATGCGAATGCTACGCACTATTGTTAATACTACGCATAGGTCTAGACGTATGAACACGATTAACCAATACGATTCAGACGAACACGACTACTATAAAGACGAATCTTAATACTACCAGTATCAAGATTGATGATGCTGATGCTGATGATGACGATGATGATGATAATGCTGCTGTTGATACTGATGCAGATGACGATGATGATGATGATGATGCTGATGATGACGATAAGGATGTTGTTGCCGCTGCCGATGCTGCTGCTGCTGATGATGATGCTGCTGATGTCGATGACGATGATGACGGCGATGAGGATGATGAGGATGATGATGATGTCGATGATGCTGATGAGGATTATGATGATGGTGTCGTTCATGATGATGATGATGATGATGATGATGATGATGATGATGATGCTGATGCTGATGATGATGACGATGATGATGCTGATGCTGACGATGATGGTGCTGCTATTGATGCTGATGATGTCGAGGATGTTGCTGCTGCTGCCAATGCTGATGATGCTGATGATGTGGCTGTTGATGTTGATGATGCAGATGATGCTGATGCTGACTATGATGATGATGCTGATGATGATGCTGCTGATGATGCTGATGCTGATGCTGATGCTGATGCTGATGCTTTTGCTTGTACTGCTGCTGATGCCTCTGATGATGATGAGGATTCTGCTGCTGCTGATGATGATGCCATTCGTCATGATGATGCTGATGATACTGATGATGATGCTGATGCTGATGATGATGATGATGACGATGATGATGATGATGCTGATGATGACGATGATGCTGCTGTTGTTGCTGATGCTGATGACGACGAGGATGTTGTTGCTGCTGCCGATGATGATGCTGGTTATGTTGCTGTGGATGTTGATGATTATGATGATGCTGATGCTGACTATGATGATGATGATGATGATGATGATGATGATGATGATGATGATGATGATGATGATGATGATGATGATGATGATGATGATGATGCTGCTGATGATGATGATGATGATGATGATGCTGATAATGATGCTGATGCTGATGCTGATGCTAATGCTTGTACTGCTGCTGCTGTTGCTGATGATGATGAGGATTCTGCTGCTGCTGCTGCTGCTGATGCTGATGCTGATTCTGATGCTGCTGCTGCTGCTGCTGCTGATGATGATGATGATGATGATGATGATGATGATGATGATGCTGATGCTGATGCTGATTCTGATGCTGCTGCTGCTGCTGATGATGATGATGATGATGATTATGATGATGATGATGATGATGATGATGATGATGATGATGATGATGATGATGATGATGATGATGATGATGATGATGATGATGTCCTCTTGGGCCATCTTGGGCGCCTCTTGGCTGTCTGGGGGCGCTCTTAGGCCGTGTTGGGGACTGTCTTGGGGCGGTCTTGGGGGCCTCTCGGGCCGTCCTGGAGCATCGGCAACCCGACAAGGCGAGAATGCCACAATCCTTCAAAAACCTGGGAGGCCCTCTTGGGAGGCCTCTTGGAAGCCTCTTTCGGCGTCTTGGAGGCCGGCCGTCTGGGCACCATCTTGAGCTTCAGCGTCTTCGAGCGATCGTTCGGCGACTCGGGGCTCTCTTAGACCGTCTTGGGGGGCCTCGTAGTTGGGGCCCTCTAGAGCCCCAGCAGATTCCTGCGGCAACACTTCCCGGAGCCCAGGAGGCATTCGGGAAGCCTCAGGGGGGCTCGCGGCAAGCCCTGGGAGAGATCTGTGAACTTGGTGTCCGCGCCCCTCAAAACCCCTCAGGAGGGAGGATTGAGGCTCAGAGGACTGGGCCCAGGACCTGATGACACGCCCACGCCGTGCTCAGCAGCACGGTGGCGGCTGACGAATGTGTAGCAGTTTCCATCGTGAAGGGCGGTTCCTTTTCAAAATGAGGGATCGACTCTCGCCTCAGGGCCGCGCGCGCATTCGTTTTGAACAATTGCAGCAGTTTCAATAATGGAGGGCGGCTCCTTCTCAAAGTGGGGCTCTCGTTATAGCGCCGTGCACTTTCGTCGTCAAAGTTTGGAACGGTACGACTGGCCAAGAACTCCATGGATCTCCAGGTGCCTCTTGGGACCCGAAGCCTCGATCCTGAGACGCCGCTGACGACGGCGACGCCAGCGGCGGCGGCGAGGACGGGGACGACGACGTCGTTGGCGGCGGCCCCAAACGCAGGCCACGGCAGCGCCGGACCGCGTGCCCCAGCTTGCGGACGGCGCCACCGCGCCCGTGCTGCTCCTCGACTCCGCAGGCCGCCGGTCGCCAGATAGTCGCCGTCGTCGTTGCTTTCGCTCCGTCGTCGTCGTCGTCGTCGTCGTCGTCGTCGCCGTCGCCGTCGCCGTCGTCGTTGTCGTCGTCGTCGTCGTCGTCGCTCCGTCGTCGTCGTCGTCGTCGTCGCTCCGTCGTCGTCTTCGTCGTCTTCGACGTTGCCGTCGCCGTCGCCGTCATCGCCGTCGTCGTTGTCGTCGTCGTCATCGTCGTCGTCGCTGTCGTTTTTTTCTCCACAGCTGCGCTGACTAGGGTGCTGTTGCGATAGAAGCTATCTCCGCCCAGGGGACCAGCGTACATTGAGGTGGTCCAGGCCGTCTCGCCGGAGACTTTCTCACAACTCCCGTTTCAGAGTTGGCCGAGAGTGGGCGTTTCGCCCGAGACATCTTCGCAACTCTGAGCCCCGAGATGCTGCGTCGTCGTTGTTCTCACTCCGCCGTCGACGAGAATCCCGGTTCCAGGATTGAGGTATTCTTCGCAGCTGTGCTGTACTCGGGCGTTCGAGGTTTCGACGTTCGAGTTTGAAGGGCTGCGGAAAATTTCGCCGGTTCGCGGCCGCTTCCAGCCTCGGGACGCCTTCCAGCGGCCGCGCCTCGCCGAGGGCGCTCCCGGGGGTGCCCAAATCGTCCCGAACGGCCGCCGCAGAGCCGAGATGTGGCCCGAGCTGGTTCGAGGACTGAGGGTGCTGCTGCGATGGACGCGATCTCCGCCCAAGGGGACCAGTGTACGCGGACGTCCTCAGCTCTCTGAGGTGGTCCAGGCCGTGCCGCCCGATCTTCGCACAGCTCTCGTGTCCGAGTCGGCTGGGATGGGGCGTTTCGTCCGAGACGTCTTCGCAAATCTGAGCGCCGAGGTGCCGCGCGCGAGGTGGTCCGGCGCGTTTCGTCTGAGACATCTTCGCAATTGGGCTCCGAGATGTCGCGCTACCGAACTTCAGCTTCCTGAGTCGACAGCCGAACTTTCTTTGTGGCATCTTCACAAGCTCTGGCGAGACGGTCTTCTCTGCGTTCGCAGCTGCATCCATCTGTGATGGTGTGGGTGCTGGGCACGACGGCCGATGGGCGAATTCACCAAGGTACGCCTGCAACTTGGGCTCGTAGGCCAACAACTTCGCGTCCGCTTCACGTAATTCATGAGGTATCCCAGCTTCTACATCATTGGCTTGCTGGTGGTGTCTTCCATGGGACTTAAACATACTTCGATACATATTCAGCTCCACACTTCGAACATGATTTACGCCCATGACTCGTGTACTCCCAGTGCCCTCAACTGCCGCATGCGTCGTAACTTCTTTTCTTGATCTGGCGATGTTCTGCACTTTGTTTGGGCTCCCATGGCTGGAATGCCCATGCACCTTTCTGCCCCCACTTTGACCCAGCACGACTGCGCCAAGCAGGGCGAGCGCCAGGCATCGCAACGTAAAACGGATCGGGCGCCCGAATCCGTGCAGAATGGGCGTGAGAAGGGTTACCGAACAGCCAAGCTGTTCTGACTGCCGCGGATCAGCGGTGTCCATGCATGTGGTTCACCTGAGAACCAGGCATCTTGAGCCGAAATGGCTACGTAAAGGTGGATGAGGATGAGGATGAGGATGATTATGAGGATGAGGATGAGGATGAGGATGAGGATGAGGATGATGATGATGATGATGATGATGATGATGATGATGATGATGATGATGATGATGATGATGATGATGATGCTGATGCTGATGATGATGATGGTGGTGGTGGTGGTGATGATGATGATGATGATGATGATTGATGATGATGATGATGATGATGATGATGATGATGATGATGAGATGAGGAGGAGGAGGAGGAGGAGGAGGAGGAGGAGGAGGAGGAGGAGGAGGAGGAGGAGATGATGATGATGATGATGATGATGATGAGGAGGAGGAGGAGGAGGAGGAGGAAGAGGTTGAGGTGTAGTGGAAGCAGGGAGGGCGCGGGCGAGACGGACAATGACGTAGATTCGGAGGAGGGTGAGACGAGGATGAGGATGAGGATGAGGATGATGATGATGAGGAGGAGGACGAAGAGGAGGAAGGAGGAGGAGGAGGAGGAGGAGGAGGAGAGGAGGAGGAGGAGGAGGAGGAGGAGGAGGAGGAGGAGGAGGAGCATCCGAAGAGCTCGAGCCTCGATCCTCGATCCTCGGACGAGGAGGCAGAGGAGGAGGCGGAGGGGGCCCCGGGGCCCGAGCGCGGAGGGCGGCGCCGACGGCGCCCCCGCCGCCGAAGAGGAGGCGGCAGCCTGCTGCGGCCTCGCGGCGCGGGCCCCCCGGGAGGGGGCGGAGGAGCCGCGCTCGCGGGTGCGGGCCGGCCGAGCGGCACGGGCAGCCGGCGCCTTGACGGCTCGATCCTCCCTCCCTCCTCCTCCTCATCCTCCTCCTCCTCCCTCCTCCTCCTCCTCCTCCTCCTCCCTCCTCCTCCTCCCTCCTCCTCCCTCCTCCCTCCCTCCCTCCTCCTCTCCTCCTCCTCATCCTCCTCCTCCTCCCCTCCTCCTCCTCCTCCCTCCTCCTCCCTCCTCCTCCTCTCCTCCTCCTTCCTCCCTCCCTCCCTCCTCCCTCCTCCTCCCTCCTCCCTCCTCCCTCCTCCCTCCTCCTCCTCCTCCTCTCCTCCCTCTCCTCTCTCCTCCTCCTCCTCCTCCTCCTCCTCCTCCTCCTCCTCCTCCTCCTGCTCCCCAGAGCCTCCTCGGGGCTCAAGAGACGGGGGTCAATGCAAACGCGGGTCAGCCAGGGCACCGGATCCTGCAGGATCCTGCGAAGACCCCCTTTGGCTGACCCAGGGCTTGGCGAGCCGCGAGGCGGCCGCGCACATTGGCTGACCCTGGTTTGCGAAGACCTGCGTTGCAGCTTTTTTTTTCTTGCAATGCAGTTTTTGGTTTCCTGTTGACCTGGGTTTGGATTGACCCTGGTCAGAAGATCCCCGACAGAGCCCCGTCGAGTGACGAACCAATTCGGAAACTTGAACATATACATTACCAGTGGCGGGCCGTTTTTCAATCCCAGGGCTTCTGGAGGGTCGAGTGCGACGCTGGGGTGGTGTGGTGTATACTTTTTTCCCCGATGTCCCAGGAAAACACGGAAAAATGTATACACCAGGGTCCCGTACACACCAGGATCCGCTCTCCAGTGCAAATTCCAGTGCAGGGCCGGAAGAAGCGTCGGTGTATAGAGTTCGATTACCTATCAATCACGACGGACAGTTTTTCGCCATTCTCGGCCTGTAGGGGCCTTCACCGAGCCCCGGGGCCGTCGAAGCACGTTGCGGGACGGGAAAATGGTCCCGGGGAAGGGGTCGAGACCTTTGGGGGTCGACATCGTTCAAAAATCATGACGTCGGGGGTCTGGGCCTGCTCCCCCGAGATCCTGGCGTTGCAGTTTTTTCACGACCGGAGTTTTCGCTCCAGTTCGGGTCCCTCGGGATCCTCGCGGATCGATCCGGTGCGAAAGGTGACGCAGCATGATGGGGTCTGGGGCTATACGGGCGTGATTTTTTGCGATGCTGTATTTTTTGTTGCAGCGTCGGATCTCAGGGCCCCTCCTCTCAGTAGCGTCTAACCGATCCCCATCCCCATCGCCAGCCCCGTCCCCATCCCCACCGTCCCACCACCCCAGCGGGGGATCTGCGCCTCGAAGCTCGAAGGGAGCAGCCCATGTCCCCATCCAGGGAGGTAAATCGGCCAGCGGTGCCCAGGCCACGCCCGTGGGGATAGGGATCGTTTAGACGATGCTCCTCCTCCTCCTCCTCCTCCGGTGGAGGAGCGCCGCGCGCCAGGCTGCGTCGTGGGGTGGAGCCAGGGGCTGGCGGAGCTGACTGGCTACGACCAGGACGGGCGGGCGGGGGCGTGCTGGGCCGCCGTGCTCCCCCTCCCCGGGTAAGGGGGAGGGAGGAGGGAGGCTCGAAGCTTGGGGGGGGAGGGCGGACAGGGCTCGTTTCGATTCCTCCAGTCCTCCGGTTCGGTTCGATTTCGACTGCTTCCGATTCCGATTCCGATTCGGCCTCGGATTCCGATTTGGGCTCCGAATTCTCAATGGAGGCCTACTAGCCTGCCGGTTTCCGCCGATTCGACTTGTCCCGAGTTGGCTGCCGAATTCCCCCGATCCGATTTATTTCGATTGCAGATCTGACTTATCGATTCGGTTCTGGGCTCTTCTGGGTGGGAGGATGAATCACTGAGGATAAAAGAAGCTCTAACCCTAGTAACACGATGGAGACGTAGCCTCACTGAGGTCCCCGTATTCGTTTTTTTTCGCGATAATGCATCTAGGCGGTTTGGCTCGAGGCATCTGCAGAAATGACCCCCTATCCCTGATGTTCCTGGCCCTCCTCGCTTCGGTCCTCGCCCAGAGGGTTAGGGGTCCTTCTGTGCCTGATCAAGCAAGGGCCGTCATCGAACGCTGGCGTGAGGGTCAGCCCTGTGCCCAGATCGACCAAAGACGTCGGAGGTCTGGGGAGGTCGGAGGAGGAGGAGGAGGCGGAGGAGGAGGAGGAGGAGGAGGAGGAGGAGGAGGAGGGTGCGTGCGCTGCGCCGGCTCGGGGGCGAGGTGGCGGGGAGCGGAGGGGGCAGGGGAGGGGCGATGGGGCCGCCGTGGTCTGGGCCTGGGCCGTCCTTCGAGCAGGGGATCGATGGCAGAATTGATCTACCCTTAAGTTGGGCGTGTCCCTCTACAGGAGGAATATTCAAAAATAGTCAAATAAGACACGCTGGGAACGATCATTTTGGGATATTTTTTGATTCATTGGCTTGCGCCACACCGCCGACCCCTTGGGTCGGCAGCAATCGTCCCCCGCGTGGCCTGTCCGGACAGCCTGTGAGGCCCCTCTAGACACGTTTCGGAGCCCTCTTAGGACCGTCCTGCCGTTCCCCCGGGCCGTTGCTATGGTTTCTGAGGCCTGCGTGGGGCGCCTGGAGGCCGTCTTGGAGCCTCTTGGAGAGTCTCTTGGGGTGCCAGAGGTCGATCTTGGAGGTTTACTGGGCCGTTGTGGGCCTCGTGGAAGCCCAAGAAGCGAAGATGCTGAAAATGTACGTCTTCCCTCGGCAATGGCACGGTTTTTTGCTTCTGGAGGCCTGCTTGGAGCGCCTCGTGGTCGCGAATGCAAACGTCTTGGACGCCAATGGGGCTGTCTGGAGGCAATCTTGGGCGGTTTGGACCGAATCGTTCCCCGCGTAGGCCGTCCGTACAGCCTTTGGGGGCCTTCTTGCCCCGTTTTGGAGCTCTCTCGGGACCGTCCTGCGGCTTTCCTGGGCCGTTGCTATGGTTTCTGGGGCCTTCGTGGATCGCCTGGAAGCCGTCTTGGAGCCTTCTTGGGAGCCTCTTCGGGTGACAGGGGTCGATCTTGGAGGTTTATTGGGCCGTTGTGGGCCTCGTGAAAGCCCAAGACGCGAATGTGGTGAAAATGTACGTTTTACCTATGGAATGGGACGGTTTTTGCTTTTGGAGGTCTTCTTGGAGCGCCTCGTGGTTGCGTTTTCAAGCGTCTTGGACACCCATGGGGCCGTCTGGCGGCGATCTTGGGCGGCTTGGACCGAATCGTTCCCCGCGTGGGCCGTCCGTACAGCCTTTGGGGGCCTTCTTGCCCCGTTTTGGAGCTCTCTCGGGACCGTCCTGCGGCTTTCCTGGGCCGTTGCTACGGTTTCTGGGGCCTTCGTGGATCGCCTGGAAGCCGTCTTGGAGCCTTCTTGGGAGCCTCTTCGGGTGACAGGGGTCGATCTTGGAGGTTTATTGGGCCGTTGTGGGCCTCGTGAAAGCCCAAGAAGCGAATGTGGTGAAAATGTACGTTTTACCTATGGAATGGGACGGTTTTTGCTTTTGGAGGTCTTCTTGGAGCGCCTCGTGGTCGCGTTTTCAAGCGTCTTGGACACCCATGGGGCTGTCTGGAGGCGATCTTGGGCGGTTTGGACCGAATCGTCCCCCGCGTGGGCCGTCCGGGCAGCCTTTGGGGGCCCTCTTGCCCCGTTTTGGAGCTCTCTCGGGACCGTCCTGCGGCTTTCCTGGGCCGTTGCTATGGTTTCTGGGGCCTTCGCGGATCGCCCAGAAGCCGTCTTGGAGCCTTTTTGGGAGTCTCTTGGGTTGGCGAGGGTCGATCTTGGAGGTTTATTGAGCCGTTTTGCGCCGCGTGGAAGCCGAATGGGCGAATGTGGTGAAAACGTACGTTTTCCCAAGGAAATGAGACGGTTTTTGCTTCTGGAGGGCCTCTCTGGGGCGCATCGTAATATTGTTTCAAACGTCTTGCGGACTTATGGAGCCGTGTGGAGGCAATCTTCGGCGTATTGGGGCGATCTTTCGTCGATTCGTAGCTCGCTTGGACCGTTCCGGGAACCTTTGGAACCTTTTTGGCCTGTTTTGGGGCCTCCTGAGGCTCTAAGTGTGCGGATGATGGATTTGCCCTCCCCCCCCCCCTCCAAACCAGCCGGACCAGGCCCCCGGGGGAGGGGTTTGGGGAGGTGGAAGCATCTCACACGCCGTGACCCCAAGGGGCCGGCGGACTATTTTTTATTTTTCGCCCAGAATCCGCCTGTAGGGGGACATGCCCGACCTAGATCTACCCACGCAATCTCGAACACATGACGCGGGTTATGTGGCCTCCAGCCCGCCCGCCCACCCAGCAGATGTTTTAGCGCCCTCGGCGTCACCCGCCCCCGTTGCGGCAGCGCCCGTGCTTTAGCGCAAAGGTGTGCCAGCGAACCCACCCAGCAACCCAGGGACACAATTCGCGTTCTGTGGTTTCCAAGAAACTGGAGCTCCTGATCTGCCCCCGCATAACGCGCGCCATGTGGTTTCAAACCGTTTCCACGTCGAACCAGTCGACGAAGACGTAGAAGCTTCGCAGATCTGCCAGCAAGTTCTACGCGTGACCCATGCGCTCGACAGGAAACGTCAAGTCTGGGGCTGCTCACTGCCGGAGAGCCGATCCCTTGCTCGAGCCCTGGGGCTCCTCGGAGCCTCCCTGCGCCGTCTCGGGGCGATCTCGGGTGCCGCTGAGGGTCTCTTGGCCTGGCATCGCTCGGACGTGAGCATTTTTTCCCAACCATCCTGTGGTGTTGGGTCCTCGTTTTGAAGAGACGGTGCCCCGCGTTCCCTCCTCCTCCTCCCGCTGCCCCCTCCCTCCTGCCATCATCATCATCATCGTCATCATCATCATCGTCATCATCAACATCACCATGATATTCGGCGTCATCATCAGCATCACCCTCCGCATGTCTCTATTTCGGCACACCAATCACACGGTTCGTGGCCCCATAGGGAGCTCCACCGAAGCCCCCAGTGGCAGGGTTCGCATGGCGGCCCCGCCTCATTTTGGTGCACCCCTCACACGGTTCGTGGCCCCATAGGGAGCTCCACCGAAGGCCCCAGTGGCAGGGTTCGCATGGCGGCCCCGCCCATTTTGGCGCACCCCTCACGAGGATCGTGGCCCCATAGGGAGCTCCACCGAAGGCCTCAGTGGCAGGGTTCGCATGGCGGCCCCGCCCCATTTTGCGCACCCCTCACACGGTTCGTGGCCACATAGGGAGCTCCACCGAAGGCCCCAGTGGCAGGGTTCGCATGGCGGCCCCGCCTCATTTTGGCGCACCCCTCACACGGTTCGTGGCCCCAAGGGAGCTCCACCGAAGGCCCCAGTGGCAGGGTTCGCATGGCGGCCCCGCCCCATATTGGCGCACCCCTCACACGGGTCGTGGCCCCGTAGGGACATAGGGAGCTCCACCGAAGGCCTCAGTGGCAGGGTTCGCATGGCGGCCCCGCCCCAGCGTGGCGCACCCCTCACACGGGTCGTGGCCCCATATGGAGCTCCACCGAAGGCCCCGGTGCGGGATTCGCATGCGGGCTCCCCCAATTGTGGCGCAACCTCACGCCCTCACACGGGTCGTGGCCCCATAGGGAGCTCCACCGAAGGCCCCAGAGGCACGGTTCGCATGGCGGCCCCGCACCATTTTGGCGCACCCCTCACGCGGTTCGTGGCCCCATAGGGAGCTCCACCGAAGGCCCCAGTGGCAGGGTTCGCATGGCGGCCCCGCCCCATTTTGGCGCACCCCTCACACGGTTCGTGGCCCCATAGGGAGCTCCACCGAAGGCCCCAGTGGCAGGGTTCGCATGGCGGCCCCGCCTCATGTTGGCGCACCCCTCACACGGTTCGTGGCCCCATAGGGAGCTCCACCGAAGGCCCCAGTGGCAGGGTTCGCATGGCGGCCCACCCATTTTGGCGCACCCCTCACAACGGTTCGTGCCCCCATAGGGAGCTCCACCGAAGGCCCCAGTGGCAGGGTTCGCATGGCGGACCCGCCCCATTTTGGCGCACCCCTCACACGGTTCGTGGCCCCACAGGGGGCTCCACCGAAGGCCCCAGTGGCAGGGTTCGCATGGCGGCCCCGCCCCATATTGGCGCACCCCTCACACGGTTCGTGGCCCCGCAGGGACATAGGGAGCTCCACCGAAGGCCTCAGTGGCAGGGTTCGCATGGCGGCCCCGCCCCAGTGTGGCGCACCCCTCACACGGTTCGTGGCCACATTGGGAATTCTTTTTGCTTCGTCCCACCTGCCCTGCGGTATTCACGTTTGCATATGGTTGGGTCCTTCGCCAGGATAATTTTCGGCGAGGGCCATCGAGGACCATCCTGGACCATCGAGCAACAACAAACACGCACGAAACCGAACAATGCACGGGAAATGGGCGTCCGAGCGACGGCAAGTTGGGCGTCGTTCGGGTCGCATGGAAGGGGGGTTTACCAAGTCTGCCGCGTGCAGCGGATTTATGCCCCGCCGCCGGGCGCTTTCCTTGACAACACGGGCGGCTGCGGCGGCGGGAAGCGCGGGGGAAACCGGCTACGTGAGCTGATTCGCTACCCCTCCCCCATCACTGCTCCGCATTCCATGATTTTGCAGAGGGGGGTCACATGCAGAGGTGGGGGGGTCTGCCATCAGCTGTCTTGGAGGGTTCCGGGGGGCCCTGACAAGAGGCCGCTCTCCCTTGCTGGTCGGGGGGGGTGTCTTAGCATTTGCCCGTCTGGGGGGGTTGTGACCCCCTCCCTATCATCACGAACTGTTCGAATAGGGAATCGACTCAGAATTGATTTACCCATTTTTTGTTGTTGTTGTTTCGTCGAGTCTACGAAGGACACACGTCGAATGCTCCGTAGATCTACGACGCATTCTGCGCATTCGTTCGTAGATTCGGCGGAAAATTCAATAGAGGGGTAAATCAATTCTCTAGTCGATCCCCGATTCGAACTGTGGAGTGCCCCCCCCCCCATTGTCCGACCCGAGTCTCTGTGGCCTGTTAGAGCAAGCAGCGGGACGGTGCCAAAAACACAGACGAGCGAACTTGGATCGAACCGGAGTCGAGCAGATCCGCTGGGTGGTCCCCAGGAAGGCCCCCCCAAACGGGCACCTACGGAGCCTATCCCCAGCGTTGCCCCTTGAAGGGAGGATCCGCCGACGCCAGGCGCCCCGGACCCTGGGGGGCCGCGGCCTCCCCGCGTTTCAGCGGATCGCTCCTCCTCCTCCTCCTCCTCCTCCGTAGCCATTTTAGCTCAAGCTGTTTGGAGTCAAGGTGCCGCAGTTTGTGCAGTTGCTTCCTATTGTCTGCGTTGCCAAGGGCGGTACAGCACGTCATGTCCGTGAAATGCATCCGCGAGCACACGGGTAAAGCATTGCTGGAGAAGTGGCTCCCCGAGATCTCCAATGGCAAGCACAAAATGGGCACAGCGGGAGTGCTCATCACACCGTCAGTGCTTGATCCGACCAGCGGGGACACTTGGGAGTCGATTGTGGAGAAGAACCCCTGGCTGCTGACTTCCAAGCTCGTGGCCAAGCCTGACCAACTGATCAAGCGCCGTGGCAAGGCTGGCCTCATCGCACTCGGCAAGACCTTCGACGAGGCTAAGAAATGGGTCATGGAGAGGATGTGCACCGAGCAAAAGGTGGAGACCGTAACTGGTCAGCTGAATCATTTCCTAATCGAGCCAATGGTGCCCCATAAACAGGATGAGGAGTTCTACATCTGTATCCACACTGTGCGCTACTACGACGAGATCCTATTCTACCATGAGGGTGGTGTTGACGTCGGGGACGTAGACTCGAAGGCTGAGCGTCTCCAGATACCGACCGGGGAGGGCGTTGACGAGAAGAAGATCATCGCTGGTCTGTTGTCGAAGGTGCCAGCTGCGAAACAACCCAGTTTGGCATCTTTCATTATGTGCCTCTACAAATTCTACAAGGATCTGCATTTCGCGTATCTGGAAATCAACCCCCTGGTGATGCTGGAAGACAACACGGTGGTGCCTCTGGACATGGCCGCGAAGATTGATGAGACCGCCAATTTCTTGGTTGCACAGAAGTGGGGGGAGGTTGACTGGCCCCCGCCGTTCGGCCGCGCCGCCTACGCCGAGGAGGCGCTCATCCGTGACATGGACGGCAAGACGGGTGCTTCGCTGAAGCTGACCATCCTGAACGAGAAGGGCCGCGTCTGGACCATGGTGGCGGGTGGCGGTGCGTCCGTGGTGTACGCCGACACTGTCGCGGACTACGGCATGGGGAGCGAGCTCGCGAATTACGGCGAATATTCTGGCGCCCCGTCGACCGAAGAGACGTTTGTGTATGCGAAGACACTGTTCTCGCTGATGTTGAAGTACAAGCATCCTGAGGGCAAGATCTTGATCATCGGCGGCGGCATCGCCAACTTCACTGACGTCGCAGCGACCTTCACGGGTCTCATACAGGCGCTGCAGCACTATGCGGACGACATCAAGGAGCACAACATCAAGATCTGGATCCGTCGTGCTGGCCCGAACTACGTGGAGGGACTGCGCAAAGTCAAGGTGGCCAGCGAGAAGCTCGGCCTCGGCATCAAGGTCTACGGCCCGGAGACGCACATCACGGCCATCATCCCCATGGCGCTCGGGCTCAAGGAGGTGCAGGAGGAGCCCGACCTCAGCGCGTCGTGTGGCCCCCCGGTGCGCAAGATGATCGACATGAAGGACAAGAAGCCCAACACGCAGAAGCCAGCGCCGCCTGCATCGAAGCACACCATCGTCACGGCCACAGCCGACACGACCTGCATCGTCTACGGCATGCAGAGCCGAGCCGTCCAGGGCATGCTCGATTTCGACTACATGTGCAAGCGTAAGAAGCCCTCTGTCTCCGCAATGGTGTTCCCCTTCTCTGGGAACCACTACGTAAAGTTCTACTGGGGCACCGAGGAGATCTTGATGCCCGTGTACACGACTACAAAGGAGGCTTGCGAGAAGCACCCAGCTGTCTCCGTCTTCGTCAACTTCGCGTCCTTCCGCTCGGTCTATGAGACGTCAATGGAGGCGATGGAGTACCCAAACGTCAAGACCGTTGCTATCATCGCCGAGGGTGTGCCGGAGCAGCAGAGCCTTTTGCTCATCAAGGCGGCCGAGGCCAAGGGCATCGGCATGATCGGCCCCGCCACGGTCGGCGGCATCAAGCCGGGATGCCTGCGCATCGGCAACACGGGCGGCATGTTGGACAACATCGTCATGTCTCGCCTGTACCGCCCAGGCTCCATCGCCTACGTCTCCAAGTCGGGAGGCATGTCCAACGAGCTCAACAACATGGTCTGCCGCTGCTCCGACGGCGTGTACGAGGGCGTCGCCATCGGCGGCGACAGGTACCCGGGCAGCCGCTTCCTCGACCACTTCCTGCGCTACCAGGACGACCCCGGCGCGAAGGCGCTCCTGCTCCTAGGCGAGGTCGGCGGGATCGATGAGTACGACCTCATCGACGCGGTCAAGAGCGGCCGCATCACCAAGCCGGTCATCGCATGGTGCGTGGGCACGTGCGCCTCTTGCTTCGCCACGGAGGTGCAGTTCGGCCACGCCGGCGCCCAGGCCCGCGGCGACATGGAGACGGCGGCCGCCAAGAACAAGGCCATGAAGGAGGCGGGCATCCACGTCCCCGACTCCTTCGACAAGCTGCCGGAGCTGATCTCCCAGGTGTACAAGGACCTCGTTCTGCAGGGCGTGATCGTGGAGACGCCAGAGGGCGAGACTCCCCAGGTGCCCATGGACTACACGTGGGCCAAGAAGCTCGGCATGGTGCGCAAGCCAGCCAACTTCATCTCCTCAATTGCGGACGACCGCGGCGAGGAGCTGAAGTACTGCGGCGTGACGATCACCGAGGTCTTCGCCCAGGACCTGGGCATCGGCGGCGTCCTGTCGCTGCTGTGGTTCCGCCGCCAGTTGCCCCCTGCGTGCACCAAGTTCATCGAGATGATCCTCATGGTCACCGGCGACCACGGCCCCGCCGTCAGCGGCGCGCACAACACCATCGTGACCGCGCGCGCGGGCAAGGACCTGGTGTCGGCCCTCTGCAGCGGCCTGCTCACCATCGGCCCGCGCTTCGGCGGGGCGCTGGACGACGCCGCGAAGATGTTCAGCGAGGCATACGACAGCGGCGTCACCCCAAAGGACTTCATCGACAGGTGTAAGAAGAACAACCAGCTCGTCATGGGCATCGGGCATCGCATCAAGTCCCTGGCCAACCCGGACCAGCGCGTGGTCCTGATCAAGGAGTACGCGAAGAAGCACTTCAAGTCGACCCCGATCCTGGACTTCGCGCTGGCGGTGGAGCAGATCACGACGCGGAAGCGCGCCAACCTCATCCTGAACGTCGACGGTTGCATCGCCGTCTCTTTCGTAGACATGATCAGGTCTTGTGGCGCCTTCTCGAGGGAGGAGTGCGACGAGCTGATGAGTTTCGGCTGCCTGAACGGACTCTTCGTGCTTGGCCGCTCCATCGGCTTCATCGGCCACTACTTGGACCAGCTGCGCCTGAAGCAGCCGCTGTACCGCCACCCGTGGGACGACATCACGTACATCCAGGAGCTCGCCGGCAGCAGCTGAGCTGGCCTCACGGCTGCTTGGAGGCACCTGACCGAGCGAGGCCAGTGGCCTTTGCTACAGACCAGATGATTAAATAAGAGATTCTTGAGCCGGCGGGAGCAGGCAAGCACTTGCGTGTTACAGCGATACCTGTCCGCGAGGGCTCGGACAGACTGCGCCCACAAGGAGCGTGCACCTGGCCTTGCTGGCTCCGTGGTTCGGGCCTGGCGTTCTGCTCCTACAGTTCGAGGCCAGCCTGCGGTGACAGTTCTACCCAGCTCCACTCCTCCTCCTCCTCCTCCTCCTCCTCCTCCTCCTCCTCCTCCTCCTCCTCCTCCTCCTCCTCCTCCTGGGTTGGCCTTCCGCGCGAGCGCGCCTCGGTGCCCCTCGCCCCGCGGGGCGCACCGGGCCAGCCTGCCCTGGGCGGGGGTCGACGCGCCGGTGGCGAGGCTTCCGGCGGCCGTGCCAGGCCAACGCTTTGTGTGTGTGTGTGTGTGTGTGTGTGTCAGTGAGTTTCTCATGCGATTTATCTCCCCTGGCGCGTCCCTTGGCACGTCCATCCCGTTGCCGCCTCCCCCGCAGCCGCTTTGGCGAAAAGAGGTTCCTGGGGGGGGGGGGTACTCGTTACAACCCCCCCAGGGCCGCGGCCCAGGCCTCCCCCCCCGTGGCGTGGGATGGCCGCTCGCTGAGCTGGGCCTGGGCTCGCGGCAGCTCCGCCGCGGGCCGTGCCGCTGCTGCGCCAGCCCGCCCTCGTGATGGTGTGCGGCAGGCGGCGTCGGGCGAGGATGGCGCAGGCGGCGGCGGCGGGGTACTGGTGGGGCCCGCGGGCGGCCTCCTGGGCGTTAGCGCTGGCGGGGGCGCTGGCGGCCCTGCCCCCTGGCGTAGGCGGGATGCTGCCCCCGCTTCAGCCGCGCCTCGCCAGAGCCGCGGCGGCCGCGGGCGCTGGAGGCGCCGCAGGCCCTGCAAGGGCTGGCGGCGCGCGGGCTTCGAGCCTGCGGTGGGGGGCATGGGCGAGTTCGCCCCTGCGTGCGGCGCCGCTCCGAAAGGGCCTGCTGGCGCAGCTGCTGGGAGAGAAGCTGCCCGCGGCAAGGCGCGAGGTGCTCCTGCAGCCAAGGCGTGCGCCGCAGTTGCCGCAGGAGAAGCGGCGAGCGTGGCCCCTGAGCTGCCTGGAGTCGGCGCGCTCGGAGGTCCTTCTGGTGCCGCTGGCGGTGGAGCATCACCTCCTGCGGGCGCGCCGCCGCCAGCCCCCATCGCGGGCGGTCCCGCAGGCGGCTGGAGCGCGCCGCCGTGGGGCGCCGCGGGCGGAGCTAAACAGCTGGACCTGGCCGGAGGCTGCTCCTGCGGGGCGGCGGCTGGAGGCGTGCTCGGGATGCCCGATGGCCTGCCTCCGTGCTGCGAGCCATTCGGCATGCCCGCGGCCCGCGGTGGCGGCACGCCCGCGGGCTGTGGAGGAGGTCCTGGGCGTTGGATCTACCCCCCGCTGGCCCCGTGCGCGCGCAGCAGCTGCAGCTCCACCCTGGAGCGATGCTGGAGATCGTCAGGTGCGACTCGTGGTGCCAGCCTGGCGAGACCGCGGAGCCCCGCATGTCAGGAGCCTGGCCCGCGGACGGTGCAGGCCAGTTCGTGGAGGCGACGGTGGATGCCTGCAGCCAGGCGTACTTCTTGCCCGTGCTGCAGGGGCTCTTCGCCAGGGGCGCGTCGGTCCCGCACTTGTGCGCGCAGGCGTTTGAGACCTGCCACCTCTCCACCACATTGGCCATCAGGAGCGTGGTGCACTCGGACATGATGAGAGTGAAGGCTGCCACTGGTGCAGGGTTGTGCGTCCCAGCTGCCGCTGCCCTGGCCAACGGTGCGGCCGCTGGAGGCGGTGCCGGAGCAGACGGTGCCGCAGCTGGCACGGGCCCCGCAGGAGGCGTCGCTGGCGGTCCAGCTGCTGCCGATGGAGCTGACTGCGGAGGCGGCGGCGCGCAGACTGAGGAGCAGCCCAGGAGGACGATCCAGGGGCTGCGTGAGCGGCTCAGGCGCATGCGCCCCATGGCAGAGTCGCTTGCTGAGAGAGCTGACGCTGCGCTGGAGGGCCTGCATGGCGCTGCCGCGGGGACCAGAATCGCGACCCCGGCGACTCCGACGAATCACTTTTTGACGAGGCCCCACCCGCTGATTGCAGCCGCGGAGTACACTGCCTAGCACGCTCCGAGCCAGGAGCGCCGATGGCCGCGGATCTGAAGCAGACTCGCGAATTCTTGGCGCAGCGGGGCGGGGCCGCCGACTACAACGTGCTGAACAGCCAGAGTGCGAACGTGGCGCAGTACGACACACGCGTGCGGCACGAAGCCCGTCTTCAGAGCGAGACGGGCGGTCGCCACGTGCACGGGATGAGGATGATAGGCGAGTGCCTGGGCACCCTCACTCGCGGAGAGCTGCCGCGCTTGGGCGAGACGCTGATGCAGAGGCTGAACGCCAGCGGGCAGGCAACCAAGGGCGGGTATTGGCAGGTGGCGCAGCACCTAGAGATGGTGGGCTAAAAGGGCGTCGGGCTGGCCTCGCAGGCAGAGCTGGCGTTGACCGTGGCAAGCTGCTCGCAGGGCGCCAAGCTGGATGGGCGCCTCGGCGAGGCCTGGAGCTCAGGAAGTGAACGAGGCGCCGAAGCCGACGGCGTCCCAAATGGAGGCCCGCTGGCGCAAAGGCAGAGGTCGCGGCCGAGGCGCATCAGGACGAAGGGCTGGAGCGCCGCCTGCCGCGCCCGAGAGAGCCTAGGAGCCGCGCGCCTCGGGTCGGGCTGCAGAGGCGCGCGCCCCGAGCCCAGGGGGGGCGCCGCCCCCGCCGCAGCGTGCTCGGGCGCCATCACCGCCCCCCTGGCGAGGGCCGCGGCTCGCGGCTCGAGCCCTGGGCCGCCGCGGAGGTCCAGCCTGCGCCCAGGGCCAGGTGCCGCGATCCCGCCGCGCCGCGTGGTGGTCGGCGAGCCCTTGGAGGAACGCAGCCGGGTCAGGTGGGGCCCGCCAGGATCGCTGCGCCCCTGGCCCCGCGACGAGGGCGCTCAGCCCGTCCGAGCCAAGGGTCGCGGCAAGGGCGTGGCGACCGCACCGACTCCTCTGAGGGCAGTTGGGAGACCGAGATCACTAGCCCGTCAGCTGTTGACGAGGTAGAGTGCAAAGAGGCTTGTGACTATGCCTTCTCGGACGACGAGCAGCCAGTAATTCGTGCCATTCCACGCCTTGATGACTTGGCAGGTGCAGGTGTGTTCCAGCGGATGTGTGGTTTACCACGTTGCAAGGTTGGACGCTATTTGCTGCATCTAGGAACTGACGCGCCACGTCAGGGTTCTTTTCAGGCGGGGCCTCTGGCTTCAGACTACGTATATCCGCGAGGTGACAAGACATTTCATGACTTACTTCAGGCGAGGCCGCTGGCCTCAGAATGCGGACATTGTACCGATGGGCGGTCGGCTCATCCCTTGCCACTGTCCGCAGGGAGCGGTCGTCGCGACTTGATGCCGCTGCCCTGCGCTCTCGCTCAGGTCTGTGATTTGAAGCTGGAGTTTGACCAGGGCCGCATCGTGGACATGGTGACGTTGGCGGTGGGGGACTACGTGAACGGTTGGCTATACTGGGTGGTGCAGACGCTGGACTTCCAGTCCCGCTTGGGTGGCAAGCACCCGCTGCTCAGGGATGACAGCGCCCGCTGCTTCTTCGGCCCCGCTTGCTTGGTGCAGGTGAAGGCTTTGCGGCATCTGGCGCGGAGCGGGTGTGCTTTCCTGGGGCAGTGCAGCGACGAGGTGCCGAACCTGGAGTGGAAGTCGGAGCCCAGGTCGTCGGCGGTCGGTTGCGCGGGCGAGGAGGTGTGCCCCGCCGAGAAGCTCGATGGAGAGCGCTTGATGATCGCCCTGCCGCCGAGGGCCTCGCGACGTCCACGGCCAAGTTGAAGAGCATCCTCAAGAGGAATAAAATCGCGCAGTGCTCCTGCCCTCGTCGGAGGAACTGAGGTGGTGGTTCTACGTGTGCCCCCTGCCCGAGGTCTGGCACGGCACAAGTACATGGCGCTGTCCAAGTCTGTTAGTTGTGATGTGCTGGGCTTGGCTATGGGTGGCAGGGTATTCGTGGCGGCGGCGGTGATCCCCGTGGGCTGGACCTCGGAGACGGAGTTCAGCCAGCGCAGCTGCGGGGGGCTCGTGCGTGAGTGGGCCCCAGGTGCCGAGCCGCTGCCGGTGGAGCAGGAGTTTCGACGCGATCTACCTCTTCCTCTTCATCGTAGGCTGGGCGCGGTGCCCTCGGCCTCGGGGCAGGCCTCGCTGGCGATGCCCTTGGCCTCGGAGAGTGGGGCCCGTGCGACGACAGGCTGGCCGCAGCTGCGACGACGGGTGCGTCCCCATCTGCATTGGGTGCCCAGGGCAGAAGTCCGGCTACGCCCCTTCCAAGTGGGCGAACCCCTTCAAGGTGTCGCGAGGCTTGTCCAGGACCTCGGCCGTCCTGCGCTCCGAGACCCGCCTGAGAGAGGCTCCTCACCTACTCGATGACATCGGTGAGCTGACGGGTTGCCGTCTTGTTTGCCTCTGCAGGCCAGATCAGATTTGCTATGGTGATGGGCTGTTCAAGGTTTGGAGGAACGAGGTGAGGCCTGCTGGGAGTGCGCCGTTTTCTGCCCCTGCATGCTCTTCTACTTGGGTGGCTTGGCAGGCGTACATCGACAACCTCGACCTCCTGGGGATTGCCGATGAAAGCGGCGCTGACAGCCCGCCCGCCGAGGTTGTGCACCTGGCCAGGGCACGGCGCGGCGCCCGCGGAGTTCCTCGCAGCGAGGACAAGTCCGTGAGCCGCGTTTTGAAGAGCCAGGCCTTGGGCGAGTTCGTGGACGGCGAGCTGGGCATGTTCGCACCCCCCCCCCCCCCCCCTCCTTCCCCCCACATACCCCTCCCCCCCACCCCCCCCCCCCAGGGATTTTCACTTGCTCACCTGGTGTGCCCCAGCCTCCCCACCCCCCTCCCCACTTAATAAACTAAAAAACGCTGGACCGCGAGAAGGTGATGCAGAGGTGGTTGCTGGGGCTGGCAGGCCGCTGGGTGCGAGCCGTGGTGTCCCGACGTGAGGCGACGTCCGCCTTGGATTCTTTGTGGCGGGCCGTGGTGCGCTGGGGGGGTGAGCGGCGCCTGCCTGGCTGCGTCTGCAGGGAGATTGAGATCACGCTGGGCCTCTTACCACTCATGAGGTGTGACCTGCGGGCCCCCCCTCAGCGGCGCGGCGACGGTGTCGGGTGCCGGTGCGCAGGAGGGGGCCGCGCGCAGAGCTGCGCGACTCTTTCCTCAGGGTGTCGTGGCCGCGCGAGCAGCTCGGGCTAGGCGCGGTGGCAGACGGCAGGATGAGGGCGTGCTGATCTTTCTGTCCGACGGCATAGATGAGATCTAGCGAGCTCTTGACATGATGGGCTTGAGCGTCTCGGTGTGCGCCGCATTCGAGACCGATGCGGAGGCGAGCCGCGTGGTGCGGCGCGCTTGGCCTAATGCGAGGGTGCTCGGCGACGTGCAGCTGCTGGTGGAGAAGGACGCGAGGGGGATCCGAGATCATGCTCCACTCGCGCGTTGGGTCGCCCTCAGCGCGGGGGGGGGCTCCGCGCCGACCTGGCCCGCCTCAGCGTGGACAGGCGCAGGCGGCAAGGCAGGCGGTCTGGCCTCTTCTTCGTGATCTTGCGGGTGCAGGCCTTGATGCGTCGGGCTTCTCCCGAGGAGGTGCAGCTGTTCAACCTGATCGAGAATCCGTCTTCCAAGGGGGCCGAGGGCAGGCGAGCTATGTCGCAGGCGCTGGGGCTGCAGCCAGTGGTCATCGAGGCGGCCGACATCTCGCCCGCTCGGCGAGAGAAGCTGTGCTGGTGGGACTGGGGTCCGTTGAGTCAGTGGCAGGGCGTCGCTGACGAGATGCAGGAGGTTAAGAGGGTCGTGATCCCAGTTGGCGCGGGCGACTTGAAGCGATGGCTTCGTGAAGGTCGTCGCTGCTGTGGTGCAGGTTGCGAGAAGCACAGGCTGCCGACCTTCGCCCGCTGCGCCCCGAGGGCGCGCGCTGGGTCCAAACCCAAGGATCTGCATCAGTGCTCGCAGGGGAAGTTGGCGCGGTGGCGCACTCACGAGTACTGCTATGCCCCGTGCCAGCTCCGAGCTGCTCCTTGCTTCCGCTGGAATGGCGGTGACCTGGAACCGGCGGATTTCTTCGAGCAGGAGATGCCGACGGACTTCCCCCATGGTCGCACGGTGACGGCCATGGCAACTCGGGTCCGCAAGACCCGTGAGCTGGAGGTGGTCCGTTGCGGGTTACTGGGCGACTCCTTACAGTGTGCTGTGGTGGCTTGGATCTTAGGGAACTGGGCGCAATGCCAGAAGTACCTTGACGACGTCCCGAGCGTTGTGCAGCTGCGGCAGCAGGGTGGCGGATTCGACGTGTCCGAGTGCGTGGTGAGGATGGCGGCCATCCATGACAAGGGTGTGCTGGTTCGCCACAAGGGTCGTTGTGGCCGCGAGGCCCAGCAGGACATATGCGTGCAGATGGCAGAGGATATGGTCAGACGTGCTGAAGTTCGAGGCTCAGGCGTTCGACTGCGTCCGCTGGAGGTGACGCGCCCCGGCCTGTGGCCTCGGGGGCTTATCAGCGTGGCGCGCTGGGCATGGAAGACGGTTCTGGTTTGGCGCTGGAGACGGAAGATCCACATCACTGCACTGGAAGTTCTTCATACGCTGGCTGCCCTACGTTGGAGGCTCCGTGTGTGCCGTCATCCGTATGCGAGGTCTGCCCATCTCACGGCTTCACACGTGGGCGCTGGTGTGATACCAAGAGGGGACTTTCATTCCCATGTGCTCAATGCTGCTGACAGTGGACATCGGCCTTGGTTCTGGCAACCTCAGCGCGACCAATCTACGGGTACTCCGAGACGAGAATCCAGCCGACGAGTCCTCCACGGGAGGTGGCATCACCTTGGCCGATCATGCCGCGTCGGAGGTGCACTGCCCATGCGCAGGATTTGGTGGCCCGTGTTCGCGCGCGCGCAGAGCGATTGGGAAGTTGTCGCGCACCTTGGCACAGCCTCGTACCTTGCGACGATATTACTGGATGGTTATGGCTTTTACCTCTGGGGTGGAGTCTCACTTTGCGCCAGTGGAGTCTGACGTCAAACAACGTGACCGTCCACCTTGTGAATGGATTGTGGCGTTGTGGGCCGCTGGTAGGTCACCATTTCAGGTGTGCAGTTCGTCTTGCGGCGCGAACGCATTCTGCATAGTTCTTGGATTCGCCCCAGAACCTGGCAGAGGGCGAAGAGTTCCCAATGTGCCACGCCGATGCCAGAATATGTGCTGTTGGCTTTGACAAGTGTGGCGCGCTCGTGGTCTCGCAATGTCGTGGCACGGCTCTTGGTTGTGGGATACGCGGCTCTCTTTCACACCGCGGAGCTGCCAGGCCTGCGCCGACGGCGGCTTCTGTTCGCCAATGATGGGCCCAGGATGGTGACTGCGATGCCA